CGGAATGGACACTTATCATGCATAAAGTTGGAATATCTGAGGACGCAGTAGTCACAGAGTGTTATGCAGATGTGAGAGCGCAGAACAGAAAGTTGACGCGACGAGGGATTTGTTGAAGTTGCCCGTAGACCACGGTTCGCGATCGAATCGTTCGATTGGATTGCGCGACTATGACCGGGCGCTCCACCGCAACGGAAGAATTCGAACTGGGCCGCGTTTACACAGAGCCAGTTTTAATGCGCGATCGCGAAGTCTGAACGCGGTCTAAGGGAATGGTCGTGGGGCGTCACCGCTCAACTACTTTACCAATGAAACATCTTATTTAGCAATGGTATATGCAAGTGTGTGAACGTACATGCAGCTCGTTCGCCGTAGCGCACACAGAAACTTCATCTACTTCTATCAAACAAAGACTTTTGTTAGTTAGTTTTTGTTAGTTGACAAGGAAAACTTAGCAATGGACCTACTACCTTTTGATTCAGGTGCAACAGAGCTGGTGTACACACACCTAAAGCGACGAAGCGGAAAAAAAATAAAACCAGAAAGGACGTTCAATATTGTTCGTGTCATTTGACTACGGTATTCAGCAAAGACGGAACGGTAATCACAAGAGGCTGTCTTGGACACGTGGGGCATGAGTTGGACCCAGCACTGCTAAGATTCTCTGACGAGCAGAGAATGTACCTGAAGAATCTGCTCGAAGGTTAGCTGCTGTTTTCAGCAGCACTTTATCAGTCGTTATTCAATGGAACCCTTTCTAGAGCACCCTATGGACTATATTATTACTTGCCTCCGTGAGAGCGATCCAACAATGTCTACCAGACTGTCATATGTGGCGAAGGTTGACCTTCATAATATTGCTAGGAAATACAATGTGGTGCCAAAATTGAAGTATGGAGATGATGCTACTTCTTCGCGATCTTGCTCTGAAGAGAAAAATCCCGACTATGGCGTCATTGAGAACGATGATAAGGAATACGGTTCAGTACTACCTGAAGATATGGCTGGGAAAGATGATGGGTATGAATACAATTAGTAGTGTTGTACTTGAGAGCCCACCTCTTATATTCATGACAAAATCATCTCTATACCTCAGAAGTTGTTTAGTATGATCATCGTAGACGATGACGGTGACCTATCGCCCTTGGAGGCCGATGTGAAAGAATCCATAAAGATAGAACAAATTCGACGAGAAGCAGGTGCTCGTAAACTGGATGCTATAAAAACTGTGAGTGCTCGTGACGAAATAGGGTAAATTATAAAGTAGTGAGATGGATTTTTCAGACTTGGGCTGCTGTGGAAGCTTCGGCAACTTTTTTGGCTAAGCTTGGTACAAAAAGCTCAATAGGAAAATTGGAGGAAATACTGGGTCATCTACAAACAGCAGCACGAATTGCAACATTCTCATAATCAGGCACCGTGGCAGTTCGTCCAGATGCAGGTATGTCGCTGACTAAAATCCAGCACTATCATATTATTTATTAATGTATGAATATTTTCGAAAATTCTCTTCCAGGAGACAAAAAAGGAAAAGACGGCCTCATCGTCTCTAGTATTGCCATGATGGCAGAACCAAATGATTGAGTGCTTTCAGCACGGTCATTTTGATAGATCTCTAGCCGATATAGTTCACCATGTGCATCTTAGAGACGTAGCAACAGAAGCTGGATCATCACGATAGCGTTTCTTCCTTCAAGTTATTTTTCGCGGTTGTTCCTCTCTGCCTACTGTTATCTTTTCATTCCTGAGTTCGGGTAATGGCTTTTTTGTATACTGACCAGCAGTAATAAATATGTACTACTACCATGTTGGACCTTGAAAAGGTTGCCGACGGACAGGCCCTCATTCAAGGAAAGAACGTTGGAGACTTATTATCAATCTCTTTCTCTCTAACCTAGGGCCAGATCTCCCAGTGAAATGTGTTGGGAATTTGCTCGCAAGGCGTAGCTTGTCGAATAGCAGGCGGGAACCAAAGAGTGTGCTCATACTTTGCGTCAGCGTTTTGAGCGTATGTCAGCGCTTTAAGGGACTGGGAACGGAAAAGTAACATTTTAGGCGTCCGGGAGCGTTCGGAGCATGTCTACCGTTAGTGGTGTGGGTAAGACAGTATATATTGACTATCGCTGAAAAACCGGAACACTCAAGTCGTTGCAACGACACCGATACTTTCATTGTCGCTCCAAACGGTTGAAAGGTGACAGACGCGAAAACGCTGCCGCAGTGCATGAACACGGATGTTATACAACCAGGGCACAGCATTCGATGGGGATTTTGGTTGGCTTGGGCTTTTACGACCCCCCCCCTTTTTCAGGGGCTGGTACGACCCCCCCCCCCCCATGCTCGTACGATGTACGTCGCATGCTTACTACCTGGACTTGGCTGACTGTGGTTGTGGTTTATACTCGAGAAAGTTGTCGAGCGGGGGTATGTAGTAGGCATGCGACGTACATCGTACGGGCGTACATAGTACCTATAACACAGAAAATTCATAAAACTCATGAAGTGAACCACGTAACTCCTAGCCAGAAATACGACCCCCCTCCCAACAACGACCAAATACGACCCCCCCCCCCAAAACGTCCGCAAAGCGAGAAAAATCAACTATAAAAATAAATTTTTCCCAGCCCAAATACGACCCCCCTTTTGGCGGCCAAATACGACCCCCCCCCATAGGGAATCCCCATCGAACGCTGTGCCCTGTATACAACGCCGTTGTGCGGCGCGGTCGCGTCATGGCGAGAACGGAGCGCGCCAACGTCAGTTCCAGGACAGAGGAATTCTAAGGTGTTCTCCTCTATGTAAAAAAGAGACACTCGTTTTCTGTTCACCTATAAGTTGGGTGTGTACATTAAGCTAGGCCAACTAGGCAGACTCACCTCATTCCTACCTCTCCTTGGGGAGTGGTGCGAGGTGAGTCTTCGGGAGAGTCGGTGTATGGGGAGGCTTCGTGCAACTGAGTGCTGAACTCTCCTTGTTAGGCTCACCCAAAGAAGAACAACAGCGAGAAACCACTGAGCTCCATGAAAACGGCATAAGGTAGAAAATGTTTTATTCATTTCGTTTCGGTAGTGCTTTTCAAACATGCCCTAGCAAGACGAGTTTTTTTTTCTAGCTGTTTCCGTCTGCACGTTGCTATGAATAAATACATTAGAGAAAGAGTAAGCTGAAGCAGTGTGGGAGCAATGGGTGCGTAATTAGGAGCTGGCATAGTCAAGTTGTCGAGCATTGAAGGCTTGCATTGGTTACCATGATAGGTGCTGCGAAAGCAATCCAGTTCGTAGTGCTTACCAGGGAAGGTCAACAGGTCGCCATGGCCATTCAAGATGAGATGCATATCGACGTGTACGTCTGGGACGCTGAACTCAAATCTGCTTCCAAAATTTGCCGAACGATTCTCTATGAGGAGTTAGGGGGGTGGTGGTTTTAGCATAGCACTCGCCGATCCTCCTTTGCGTAGCTCAAGTTAAGTTCGAGTACAGAGTCTCAAGTGGTCGATGGTGTAGTGGATAGGTAAGTTGCTTCATAGGATGGGAGGTCATGGGTTCGATTCCTTGACGGGTTCGCATTTTTGCATTTTTTCGGAACATCTTCTGCGAGTTCAGAAAATACTTTTATCCGTTATTTTGTCAAGCTTGCTCTTACTTGCAGCAGGAAAAGACTCAATTGCCGGCAATTGTGCTTCGCTTTCAAGGACAAATGCCGGCTTTTACTCCCGCCTAACTCCTCATAGAGAATCGTTCGGCAAATTTTGGAAGCAGATTTGAGTTCAACGACGTACGTCGATATGCATCTCATCTTGAATGGCCATGGCTACCTGTTGACCTTCCCTGGTTAGTCAGAAAATCCCAGAACTGCTTAAGATTGGCTTAAGGCCTCAAAAATAGGCCGTGCAATTGTATAGTTTGAGAGCTGCGTTTTCAGATGAGCCAGAAAGCAGCTGCGTGAGACACTAAGCATCGGAAACCTCTCGCTGCTCCAAATGATTTCACATTAGGTTTTCTCAATAGCCTATACTCTCTAGAAGACCCACTCAATGTTTGCCTTGATGTTACTGACCATGAGTGCTTGCTGGTAAGATGCTTTCACCCATCCTTTCAACTTCAACTTTATTTCTTTACTTGCGCTCAGAGCATGACAGATGATCTAACATTAGAGTACCGATAGTCAAGGAAAAACAAAATACTATCAAGAGGGAATCATAATCCTATGCAACGGAAGCCAGTTTTCTACCCTGTGTTGTGGTCCGTTCAGTTCAATTACCTGAAAGCAATAATCTCAACTATCGCTTATGAAAAGGGTGCTAACGTATTTGGGGGGGGGGGACCACGCGGCGCGCGGCGAGCGATGACTCATCTGCTCTTCTGCTCCCTCCTCGGCAAAATAGAAGTAATTTCATGTTTAGGACATGATATAACACCGCCCTAGCTATATTCAAAAGGTAAAACAGTTAATGCTGAAAAGTGCGAAGAAACAATAGAAGGCGGGAAGACTCTTGCCTAAACTGCAAGGGAATGAACTAGGGCCTAGGTGACCCATTCGTTTGCGTAAAAGTGACACGTTTTCGCAGAAACTAAACCTTGAACGGTTTCCTCACAATGGAACCACAATTTCACCTCACCATTGCTACGAGCTCCATTTGTTTTCCGCTTCTGTATGATTTCCTCAACAAGTTCCCGGTGAATCTTGTTTGTTTTGTTCCAAATAGCTGCTAGATTCGCGCTTCAAGTATACCGGGAACCATCTGTGGGCTGTTTTGAGCATTACCTCGCAGAGCAAGAAGCGGAAGAACAGATGAGTCATCGCTCGCCGCCGCGGTGGTCCCCCCAAATACGTTAGCACTGAAAAGTTTTAATGGAGGTACTTGGTATCCACTGTGAACAGAAACGAGTGTCTTTTTTTACATGGAGGAGAAACGCTAGAGTCCCCATCTAACCTAGAGCATAATTCCACTGATCGCTGGCGCACTCCGCTGACGCCGTGACGCGACCGCGCCTCACAGTGGCGTTGTGGATTTATAAATAAACATTCATGACACCCACACCCTAAGAAGCACGAAACTCCCACAGCTACTCAGGGCCCGCGCACTTTCGAGCAGCTTGAGGCAGCGTTCACACTTCGCGACGGCAGCGCTTTGGTCGCGCGTTCGACGCGATCGATGCGCATGGTTTCAACTGCATCGAGCGTCGAAGGCGCGACCGAAGCGCTGTCGTCGCGAAGTCTGAACGCTCCCTGAGAGATGTACTTTCGCAGATGTGAGCTTGCCCATCTCACTAACGGAAAAGATCTTCCTCGCAAGTAAGGAGGCGTTCATACTTTGCGTCAGCGTACGACAGTTCGAGTCTACGCCAGCTCCAGCGATTAGGAATAGATGCGTATCGATTTCGATTAAACAAATGCCAGCAGCTAGGAAAGAATGGACATCGATTTAGCAAACGCCAGCGTACGCTGACGCAAAGTATAAAAGCAGCCTAATCGTAAAGGCTGTCCTTCAAGAAAGATAGTCTTAGTGGAACGCTCTGAACAGCATTAATCAAAACAACAAGAAGTAAGCAGCAGGAAAGGTGAACACTAACACTGAAGTAACTGCTCTAATGAGGGAGAGATTGGTATTGTAGCAGGTTGCGCCGGGAGACGGGCAAGAGAATCGTAAAATGCCGCTTCGTCGCTCGCGGCAATGGGCGCGACGTTTTCTGAATTTGCACTACCCTTTCGTCTGAAGCATTGGATTCCATGTAGACAATGACATGGCAGGCACCCATGTATATTTTTGGCCATGCACTGTCTATCCTTCGACCAGTACCCACCCAGAAATCGTTTCGTCATTAGCGGGTGCGACGTCGCACCCGCTAATGACGGCCAGTGGCGCGGTGAATTACGATTCGCTGGCCACATACAGTGGAGCGCTCACCGGACGGTGGGGCGTTCTACGACCACGCCGGCGAGCGTTCCGCTGATTGCGTGTCGATGGAAAGCCGAGAAATCGTAGGAAATTATCATCATTGCCTCTCCGTCTCTGACACTGACTCTGCGCTCTAACACACCCCGCCGCGCCCTCTACTCACTCTTCCGTCCTGCACTCTCGCCGATCGATAATGGCTGACGCTGCCGATCAGCTGATTCCTGCCGCATTTTCTCCGAATTCCTGCCATATTCAGCTTGAAAAAGCTGAGATTTTTCGACTTTCGGCTTCAATCGTTGAACGTGAGTATTCTTACTAAAACTGTATCACAATTTGCATGAATTTAGCTTGAAAGTCCCCCAGAAAACATTTTTTTTCTTCTGATTTTCGCAATTCGTCCAAACTTTTCCTTATTTTCCCCACTTCTTTTATGCTATTGAGCGGGTTTTCGAAGTGGTTTCTTAGATGTGATCTCGTTATTACCGAGAACCATCTCTGACTCCTATTCTGA